TGTGTTAGCGTCGTCTGAAAATGGTCGATGTTGGCATGAAATGGTGGTGTTCTGCTTTGGGATGGTACTTTAAGGTCTTCTAGAATTGCTGAAGGTAGATCATAGGGGTGGGTGCAGTTGTAATCAGGACGGTGTTTAGATGATGGCCTTTAAGGATCTCGAGGATGATCCGGTGATCACACCTCATCAAGTAGTATAGAGTATGGTTGTTTGGTTGGGTCTTGAGGTAATCGGCTTTGAGGATCAGTTCTTCATCGGGGTTGGTGGTGGTTCCGGATGGTACTGAAGAGCGGATGGAAGGCATCGAGTTCTCTTCGTCGAACATATTACCATTGTTGTTAGCCATCTGCAATGTAGACATGTTAGTATAAAACACCAGACACAAACAGATTTGAAAAACATATTTGAAAACAGTTTCGAGAAATTTTTCGGAGAAAAATATCCTAAGTGTAGAACTTATCGCATGACAAAGGGAAGATGTTTCATGACACTTAATGGTTGTCACATCATAAGGATGTGATAACCCTGTTTGGCGTATCAAAAGGATGCGAAGAGAGACTTTTGTCGCATCATAAGGATGCGATAAACACTGGTTAGCGCATCTAGAAGAATGCAATAAGTTTAAATAACAGTTATATGCGATAACTTTGATTGTTAGACACATGCAATAGCTTTGAATGCCCAATTTTCAAAAAATGATACTAAACCTCAAAAGCTTAACCCTAGTGCTCGTATATGTTCGAAAAAGACTTTAAAGCTTAAAATGAGCACTAGCAACCAAAACCTAAAGGCCAAAAACACAAAACCTAAAACCCTAACTAGGATACCAATAGACTTAAATGTGAGATAATACAAGAAGTTCGACTCAACATTAGCTCTAATCACAGGTTGTAAAGCACTCGGAAAACATAATGAAAAGTAAAAGAAGTGAAAGCAAACCTGGATTGCGGGTTTGGAAATTGAAATCGAACGTTCGTTGGCCAAAACAAGTTTATCGCACTCATACTTTTTACCACACACACAATTTTTTAGAAAGGTACTGTTGAAAACAGAGTCAAAACTATTTATACCCTAGGTTTGAAAAATGGACACATGGCTCAACCCAAATGGTCAGAATAAGGTTGACCAAAACGTCAACTTGTCCCATGAACAAGACGCGACAAGTCCAGATTGAAAGTTGTCGCATCACAAAGACACGACAAAGCCAAGGGTAAGGTTATTAAATCACATAGATACGATAAAAGGAAGGTTATCGCATGACATTGATGAGATAAGAAAATTGTCGCATCATATTGATGCGAGAACATTGTTTTGTCGCATCAAACTGATGCGATAGACAGGGTTTGTCGCATCAAACTGATGCGATAAAGATCTTTGTCGCATCAAGGTTATACGATGACCTATCTTTGTCACATCAAGTTGATTCGATAACATAAAGTTATCGCTCTCAAGCTAATGCGATAAAAATAATACTTAGACATTTTTTCAAAAAAAAATTCATAAAAAGGATTTTCCAGTTTAAAGGATGTCCAACCTTTAATTGGTTTGAATCACAAAAAACTTAGGTGTGCTCCCCCCCTCAAAAAGTACACAAAGTTGTTTTCAAAGGAAAGCAACCCCCCTCCCACTAGTCTGATACCACACAAAGGTATGTGGTTGAATTTAAACATTAGTGTGAATGTTGAAAATCCGAGAGGAATACCCTCAAAATAGATGGTGGATTAGTTGTTATTAATTGCATGTTGTAGCATTTTGACAACATTGGTCTGCTGAAATTCTTAAGTCTTACCACAAGTCTTACACCCCTGATTTATTTATTTTCTAGCAGTTCCAGTAGTGTTAACTCTAAACCAAGCAAATCTTCAAATTTTCCATATGAAGTTAGTCTTTCAACTAAGGATACCTATTACTATGGAATAAGATACTTGGTTTTTACCATTTTATTACTTGAAGGCGATAATGTTGACATATGTATACTTTAATGTGTTCCCACTTAGTGTTGTAAGGATACAATATCTAGCCCACATCAGCTACGTTTAAGTTTGCAATGATCATCTACTCAAGATCTTTAAAACTTGCAATGCATTTGTGCGTTAACTTAGTTGCACCCAAAATGAATTCTCTTCGCACTTTGTGAGCAGACATAGATATATGTTGACCTAAAGCGTATAGTTCTGTTATTCTCTTAATTTGTGTAAGAGTCGCTCCACCGACCGGAACACTTAACGGAGCTCTCGTATCAATTACGTCTATCAAATTTGATCAACCATTGACAAATAATCCTAATGTGGGCGGATTCACGCGGTTCTCTCGAAGGCCAAGTATATTGGGTTCAAATTCATATTTTGTTTGCATTCTACTTTAGCTCATTCGAATAACAAAACAAATATGAAAAGTGGCAACAAGAAACACCAGATGATGCCTTTCTTTAGTGAAGGCTTGAGCATTTTCTTTTTTACCTTGTCCATTATAAGCTTAATAACGGGTCAAATCCTAAAATCTTTAAAACATGAGATCAATTCTGAAGTTGCCAGGGAGTTTCGTCATCAGTGGTGGTTTCCTTAAAGGAAGGTTCATATTTGTGAATCAATGAAAGAATCAATTTGAAGATTTATATGTAAAACCATGTGAATAAGCTGTAACATCAGTTCACATATAAATCTTTAAAAAGATTTTTTCAAAATATCTCAATGGTTTCAGATATAAAGCTTCCCCTAACCTTTCAATCTCACATTCTTATAATAGTTAGTTTCTTTTACGAAAAGACCCTTCGCACACATACACATGTATGTGTGTATGTGTGTGTATGTATATATACATAAACATATCGGGAAATTTTCATTTGAGAAGTGGAAAGTTTTTGAAAAGTAAAGAAGTGATCCTAGCCCTTCATCTGGTCAACATTTGCGGTTTTAACTGTAAAGTACCGGATAATTCATCACATATGTATGCGGAAGATAGAGGAATAATTTCATAAATTTTACAAATAGGCGGAAAACAGGCTCATATGTGAACCTGTTTGATTCACATATGAACTACAAGTTCATATGTGAACCCGTTAATTAGTTTATATGTGAATAAGTTAATTAATCCATATGTGAATCACACGAGTTCATATGTGAATTACACGGATTCACATATGAATATATAGTTCATATGTGAATCATACGGGTTTACATATAGACCCGTTTGCGCCTATTGATAAAAGTTACGAAATTACCTCCTCTATTTTTTGCATAGGCACAAATTTTGCCCAGTCAAAGCCGATGTTGATCGTATGAAGAGCAACAATCACTTTTTTACATATAAAATATTTACCACTTCTTATAATAGTCTATGGCTATACACACAAATATATATATATATATATATACATATACTATACACACACACACACACACATATATATATATATATATGTATTTATAGGTGAATGTTCAAACGAGAACACCCCTGTTTTACGAGAATGCGAGAACATTTATGGTCCTCTAAATTATTTAACCCATGATTAAGATTAAAAAAATAAACTAATTAATTAAGGATAAACATGTGATTTCGTATTTATCTCTAAATCTAGTGACATTCTTATCTTTAAACTCTCTCTCGCTCTCTCACACACATCTATATATATGGTATCGTATTAAAGAGAAGTAAAATAGCATTTTCTTTATATAATTTGTTTAATTAAAAAGTTGATTATATTTAAGATTATGTAGATCACTTTTTAAATTGTGATAAATAAGTAGGTTTCCAAAATTTGATTTGTTAATACCAGCATTATGTTAAAATAGAGATTTTGAAGATGTAGAGGAAACATGAGAAGGGTATACTTAGAAGTTAATAATCGGGGTTGGGGGCGGAGTCGGAATAACATTTGATTACACAATTACCGTATTATGTTGTAATTTTGTTAACATACAAATATTTGATATTCCATTGAAGCAAATTTTAGAATTATGTGAGATTTAAACATGGACCATTTTTAAATCAAGTGTGGTCATTAACACATTTGATTTAGAATACCTCACATAAACTGGAAAAAAGATCTCCGATTCCACATTGGCGATCCCTGTTCACCGTTGGGGACGAGGGTGGGGCTGTGATCATATTCACTGGCGTGGGAGGAGATATGGACGGGGACAAAAATTGGAGATGAGACATATGGATAAGGATTGGGGTTCCTGCCTTATTCCCAGGCTTATTTAGGGAGTTATATGTAACATTTTATGTTAGAAAAAAAAGAGGGGTTATCTATAATATTGTAGGAAATGTCCAAATTTAGAGAAATCATAAAACTTTATAGAGAAATAATATTTAATTATTTCATGCAATAAATACATTGCAATTAAATGTTTAATTAGAGAAGAATAATATTTTATTAAATATATTAAATATTTTAATAATATTATTTAACTTATATCGTTTAAAACGTAAGTAGCCATGGGAATTGAACACAATTTTTTCAGAACTTTTGATTTATATTGCTTTTATTGTTTACAAAAGTGATAAAATAGAAAGATTATAACACTTGAACGATTTTATATTTATTATTGATTTGTAAAATAATGTTTTAATGCATTAAATTCTTTATAATTTAGCTTACATAGTTGTATTTAAAAA